AACAAAAATGACAGTTGAAAGCAAGCGAGAGCTCGCATACCGCTCGGTATGCTGGAAAAAGCATGCTTCGTGCTTTTTGCGTTCTACACGTGCGGTTTCTCGCATACGTCGTCACGCGAGCGAGATTTTCCAGCACGTGAAAACGGCCGGTATGAAAGGCTTTAATTTCATGCAACCCTGTTTGCTCCTTAAACGAACACGCCCCAGACGAAGAAATGAATACGGCGAATAGGTGCCAAAAATACGGCGATTAATTCAAAATGACGCATGCGTTGCAAATTTTTTACTTGCCAAAAAATTGATGAGCGAATCGGAGGTGCAGGCAAACGAAGAAAAAGGCGACTTGGGAATTGTGGATAGTGTGTAAATTCCGACTATAATTATTTTAATATTCAAATAAGTTTACCGTGCATTAAAAGGTAATTTGGTAATATACGAGAAAGGATCGTGAAAGAAAAATACCTGGAAACGACGCCGAGTTCAAAAACAGGCAAGTGGAAGAAGCAGAGCCCCAAAGAAGCAGAAGAAAAAAAGCAAGCAGAAGAAGCAGCATTATTGGCAGGGGCAGAAGCGCATTAGTAGCCCTTGAAGAAAAAAACGGGGAAAAATCAAAGATATATTTCAATTGTCGAAGGCGGAGGTGTAAAGTGATCGAAAGAAACAAAATTTATACAAATAAAAGCATACTCATATTTCATTGGATAATTTGACGCATCGTTCGTACAAAAGTAGCAAAACGGCAGCGATTACAGCAACAACTACGCCACCAGCTTCGACAATGGAGAAGCCGAAGGAATTGATCATTGAGCCAAAAAGCGAACTGCGCTTTATAGGTAAGTGTGTGAGGCCAATAGGCAACTGAACAACAACACAAATATGGGGAATGGGAGTCTACATTGGCGTCGCTGCCCGTAAAAAACGGACTACAGATGGCAATACGGACAGCGGCGTTAACGTTAACGTCAACGCCCGCCGCCATGTGGCTCGAGCAAAAATATCTAGGCTTGACCAATGTTTTCCTTATTACTTCACTATTTGCAGTAGTTAATATACCAAAAGATAGAGAATTAAAATATCTTTCAGAATTATAGAATTAAAAGTAATTGGAAAAAGTATAATATGCATATTTTTCAAGCTCACACTCAACTGTGTGCGTATACAAAGCATTCGCATGTCGACGACAAGTTTTAACAGATGTGTGTGAACAAAATCGCCTCATGCCAACACCGTAATAAGAATACAAATGGAATTCTTTGCCTTTGTGGATGTTCACGTTCACGCTAGCATTGAACTGTATAGCGGGCTTAAGATAAGCATAAGTTTTCCTATTTTTTATACCATTTAAGTTTATTGCTAATATTTTATGTTGCACAAATGTCTGTTCGTAACTTTTAAACATTATTGATATGTGCAACTATTAAAGGTTAACAGCTTCCTAAAAGTCAAAGTCAACAATCTCGTCTTCCATTGTCTGCCTATATTTCAATTAGGTTGTGAGAAATTGCTTGTAATTGCTTTGATTTGCATTTACTCACGGCGGAATTGGTTCTATATATTTCTGTAATTACGTTCAGCACATTGCTTTATCAACGATTTTATTTTGTCGCGTTACTCATGCCGTGAAATTTGGACTGAACTTTGCTAGTTTTTGTACTATGCAATTAGTATACTTATGTATGTATGTCCACCAATGTACCATTTACCGAGGCAACTAATGTGCGAGCGCTAAATGTTGTAAATTTTGTTTTCGTTCTAATGCATCTTTAAAGCAAATAAGCTTGGCAACTGGAATCTATGCGTTCCCACGACAGTCGGGTCTACGTAACCGGAACGACCCAGATTTATGTCTGGTCAAGGACCGTCACTCAAGCAACACTCCCCAAAAGACTCTTTGGGGAATTTGTATGTTGTTACAACAACAATAATATGGGTGGTATTATCACTTGCGGAGCGAATGAATCTGGCGAAGCGAAAGGATTGGCGGTGATTCTTTTTTGCGACGAAGAAATCTGTCATGTCACAAATTTCATACATATCCATACAAAATATGTATAGTTTGTACATATGCGTGTATTTGCAAAACCGTCATGGAACAACGTTTGACCTTTGAAAATAATGAAATAGATATGAAATATCGCTATGCCGATTCATAAAGGTCCTATCTTATGTTTTTTTTTTCTTTGCAAAGATATAAACCTAACCAAACCCGACATGTATATTCCTTTATTGTAAGTTGTTTTAAAATTACGGTTTCAATATTGGACTTTAATTAATCAAATGTTGTAAGTGTTTTGTTTAAATTCCATTAGGTTTTCTTGTAATGTACCTACTTTTGTACAAAGAAATGTAGCGATATGTACATATATATGTACATTTAGATGTCCATACATAAATTGTATATTTAATGTCGTCAAAAATAACTTTCAGTTATTCAGTAGAATCAATTATTTGAAGTCTGAACCTCTCTGTTTAGAAAATTAAGCCGACCGGGTCATCTTTTGGCTAAACTACTTGTTCGTTTATTTTAACCTAATACCGTAATTAACCAAAGTCAATTTCACTTTCATCCCAAAATCGATTGAACGTTGTACTACAATATTTTTCATTCATAATTTCTATTTGGTAAATCTTTTTACGCAAGTTTGCTTTTTAAATATAAAAGTACATTCGTATGCCCATATGTATTTATTCATGTATGTATGTAGAAATTACCGTTGATTTTTTAGATTCTTTTTTGTGGAGGGTGTTGCTGTTTTTACATATAAAAAAAAATTTTGATCATATGTTATATGGAAGAAAATGCACAATACCCTCCACAAAAAAAAATTCTAAAAAATCAACGGTAATTTTTAACGACTAGAACTGCATTCACGAAAATTTTCTTAATATTCTAACTAAAAACATTGAAATTTTTATGACAATTTTTTGAAGTTTGATTATTTTTTTTGCAATTTGTGCAAGCTTTTAAACTTTTATTATTGTGGTTTCTGTTATAGATTGAATTATATTTTAAATGAAAATTGTTAAAGATAAATAAATAAACATAATTTGCAAACAATATCCTTTTGAATTTCGTTGCTAATTAGTTGATCGCATCTGTATGTATATAGATATGGTGTATAAATTCGAAACTATATACACGTCGCTCATTTACTTCGATAGCGTCATAACTCAAAAAAGGGAAACTCGGGGGAAAAACGACTTTGAAGTTTTGAATTTACGTACATACATATGTACATACTCCTATAGTCAAAATTATTATATATTTTGTTTTAGTAAAATATGTACTGGTAATAAATAGAGCTATGAAAGTTTTACGTTAGCGTTAATTTCTGCATTCTTAGCTCAATATTGTAATTTTTTGGTTATGCACTTAAGAAGTCACACATAAACTTCTATATTATCGCCGTACGCTATAAAGCCGGTATTTATTATTAAATTCTCGAACAATTGGCGATTCCGGTTATCACCCGCCGGCACCTGCAAACAATTTGGTTATGTGTTGGTGGTTTGCATCAGCAAGTACATATGTGAATAATAATCACAACAATTCTTCTGGTTATTTCAATACGCGTCCCATTGATGCTTTTTAGTCAAATTTTGTTTTCCATTTCCTCTTCGAGTTATATACATACATACGTATTTAATACCCATGCATATGTATGTATGTATGTGAAATGTACATGCATACATGCAAGTATGCTGGGTTTTTGAATTTTTACTTGAATTTTCGAAACACATCAGAAGTAGATCGTAGCGCTAACTAAAGAGATTTATTTATATGAAGCATTTATTGCTGTGTTCATCCGTATTTTGAAATGCAGCCAAAAAATAAATTTTCTATTTCGCGCTCATAAACTCGGCACTAGAATCATGTATGGGGGGCAGATTGTCTGTCGCTCCCGGAAAGTGTATATGCGTTTTCGAAACAAATTATCGAGGTACATTCATATACCCTTGTGGTCAGTTGATTAAGTCAAGCGACATTTTGACTAGTTTTAGCTATTTTGCTTTTGTTTATTTAATGTTTATATATATATATATATTTTTTTTTTTAAGTCTAGCACTTTACCTAACCAGCCCCACATAAATCCACATTTCAAACTTCGTACAAAAATTATGAAAATTCAACAAACTTTAACATTGCACCCGAAAATTTTAAACTTTTTATCCAGAATTTTTAGACAAATTTTGGGTATGAGCTATAAATCATTAAATAAAGTGCAAATTTGAAGACGCTAGAAAAATCCAATCCAGATGTGTACGTGGCACGGAATTAGACAGGATGCCGAATGCCATACAAATAGTTGAACTAAGTTGTAGAAATGTGTAACATGCTACCAGTATTTCTATCTTTCACAGAAATAATAATATAAATATTTGGCTCCGAGCGTTTCCTCAAACGCCGCCTCTGGACGGGAGCTGGTTTTATGTGGGAAGCTTTTTATGATAGGAAACACATGTAGACGTTGGCGACCACTATTAGAAAACAAAACTATTTTGGGAACATTTTTCGGAAGAGGAATCGGACCTAAGTTCCACCAAATCATAGTACGCAACCTCCAACTTATCGGCTACAGCGTCCGCATAAACAATGCACACGAATTAACACACTTAAGTAAATATTCGCAAAATAGGCTGTGTCTTTAGGTCAATGAACACAGCACTCCATGACATAAGTTATTTTAGCTATTATTATATTCCCAGCGATAAGTGCTTGCAAACATATGTACCTACTTACGTACGTAGTACATATACATACATACATATTACTGTGGGGCCTCTAAGCCACAACTGACTGTCTACACGCTTAAAAGATGGAAGTTGCGAATCTAATTGCGTACNGCTTGCAAACATATGTACCTACTTACGTACGTAGTACATATACATACATAGATATTACTGTGGGGCCTCTAAGCCACAACTGACTGGACGCCTGTCTACACGCTTAAAAGATGGAAGTTGCGAATCTAATTGCGTAAAAAAAAAATGCATTACTGGTGTGCGACTGTCGGAAATAGTCTGCTTTGTGCGCCCACACAATTTGGGTAAAAATCGATTTTTTAATTTGTTTGTGAAAACAATAAAATGCAAGCGTTGCGGCGTTAGGCGAACAGCGGCAAGCAAATCTTGAACTTTGGCTGACTGAGCAACTAACTAAGCAGCACGTCGCCAGTCAGTGAGTGAGTAGATGATTGTCACAATAGTGTGGTGGACAGCGACCAAGCATGAAGAATTGTTGAAGAAGAAAGCACATGTAGTGTAAAAAAATGTTGGCTATCCGCCTCAAACGCATATTGACAAAATGACGCAATGAAAGCAACGTTGGCGCATTGCTGAAATGTTCAGCTGTTGGTAATAAACTACATAATGACATACATACAAATACATTCCATAATGAAACTATGATAATAAGGGGTTTCTGGGGTTCATGACTTCGGAATCGAGGTGACATGTTGGCTTTAAATAAATTTTTACTTAATTGTTAAATTCGATTAGGAATAGACTAGAAGTGAAGCCAGCGTATAAAATAATTTCCAAATTTTGGCTTACTTGGTAGTTATGATAAGGGTGTTTAACGGTGTTTTCTTGAAAGTAAAGCTGTCATCAATTAGCTAAGTGATGCCAAACCATATGTATGTAGATATTTAAATATGTATAATCATATCAGAATAGGGGTATACTTTTTTCGATATAGAACGATCCTAGGGGGTGAGAGCATACAAATTCCGACTTTACTCTTTTACATGCATTTTTGGACCACCCTGATGTACATAGGTGTACATACCAGTTTAAGTATCACCATGCCGTTCAAAAGATCCGAGTTCGAGTCTCGGGTAGCGGATTTTTTTTTCTTTTTTTTTCAAATTAAATTTCTTTGTTTTTAAATAATTGAGAAGTTTTAGTTTAACTTTATTTAAATATTTTGTTATATTTTTTTGCTTTGTTTTATTTATTCTTATTTATTACTTTTGATTGTTTTAAAGAGAAAAAGATGCATATATTATTTCCTCGTTAGCAGATCTTTCAATTAGTCTTTCGAAAGATAGTAAAAAGCTTTTAAGATAGTTGCCAGAATAGCCAACTGTCTTACGAAAGACTTTTATCTTTCGAAACACTGTGGTGAGGTGAAATGCAGTTGCCAGGATTGCCCTGTTAATGTTAAAAATCAGTACAATACCTATCGGTTAGTATACTTTTTTCTAGCAGTTTCTTAACTTATTTATTCCTTTAGCTTACTTTAAAAAAAGTGACATTCTTGAAAATATTTTACAAAAATGCAAAAATAAGAAAAAATAATAATTTTTGATAAGCCTAAAGGCAATTTCGTATACTGCAAAAATTTTCACGTCAGTAAACGATTTCAGAGGATAAATTTATCAATGTAAAAAATAAACAAAATAAACAAAAAAAAAATAAAAAAAAATACCTGCCATGTACACTTTGTTTGAAAATGACCCACATACATATCCACACATGTACCTAGTGACACTATAGTATCTCACCCCGAGTCATAAGCTAACTAGCGCCCACTACACAATCGTCTTCTGTTTTTTTTCTTTTTGTTGTTATTTCACACACGCATACAAAATTGCCGCTACTCAAGCAGAGGACGACCACATGAAGACAACTACAATACAAAACCCATCGAAGAATATTGCTACTTGGAAATACATAAAAATAAAAAAAAACACGACAACCAGAAGAAAGCGAACGTTTATTCTTCTATTTCATGTTGTTTTCTTGTTTGTCTTTTGCGATTTTGTGCCTTTTGTTTTGAGCGCTTTTGTTAATACGCTACCTGCTTTGAGCTTGAGTACTCCAGCGGATATCTGTATTGGCCTCGCCTCATAGATTTTCGCACTTAACAGCTGTATTGTTGAAAAGTGGTGCAGGCACCGATTGGAATGAGTGGACCGTGAGTTTCCAAGTAGTTTTTTAGCGAAAACTGGTTTTCGTTTGACATATTTTACATGGATGAAAACACAATAGATTTCGACCAGTTTTAGCAACGAAAACATGTTTTCGATGTCGGTCAGAGCATGGTATAACCCCGTTTAAAGATAAATTATACATTTGGNTTTTAGCAACGAAAACATGTTTTCGATGTCGGTCAGAACATGGTATAACCCCATTTAAATATAAATTATACATTGGACCGTATGTTGAATAAAAATCAAGCAATTGTTTTTCTTTACATTTCCAACTTTTACACGATTTATTCAAATAAATTTAAGTAAAAGGTCTGAAATTAAAAAAAAAAATGCAATTGCTTAGTGTATGAATGTAACATAAATATGACATTCGCCCCCTTGGCGAAAAAGCAAGAATTATAAACCAAATTTAATTGTTATAAAATGATTAACAAACTTGAGTTTTTTCTTACAAAATGACTATCATTCAAGGTTAGTTTGATGTGGCAGTCGGTCCAATAACCAACTAACTTCGAACTTACAGGTCCATTGTGATACCACTGTGAAACACGGGAACATCGGTGACTATTCTGCATAGACACATTTTGAAGCTGTTATGAAGCTTATGATTGGTTTTATTCCTGCATCGGATAGTTCCGTCAGAGAGCTGAAATTGTGCCTACCTAGAAAGCCCGCTCTTCTGCTCTTAGCTAAAGCTAGGCAGCTATAGAAGCAGTGCTCAATTGTTTCTTCTTCTTTCTCAATCTCTGAAACTTCTGCATTATTCCGTGTAAAAATTTATTTCGCCTCTTCTAGGTCTTGGTGTTTGCAACTCTCTTTATGATAGGATGTTCGTTTTGAAGCGCCTGACGAAGGTGGGTTTAGGGACGCAGTAGTCGATATCTTGAATTGATCAAATATGCTCGAATACTGACAAACTTCAAAGTTTGTTCTCACCTGTGGGACGACTGGATAAGTGTGTATCTATGGCGTTACTTTATATCCGCTGCATATATGTATGTACATACTTTTGTATGTATGTATTATGTATGCACCTACAGCAGTGATCAATAAAATAGTAGCGAAATTCAAATTGATGTTAATTGCAACTTATGTTTATTTACTTATTTTTTTTATAACAGAAACCACATAAATAAAAGTTTGAAAGTTTTCATAAAATTCGCAAAAATTAATCAAACTTCAAAAACTTTTCATCAAAGCTTCAAACATTTTATTCGAAATTTCTAGAACATTTTTGAGTCAGTAGTTTGGTAGCCCCTTCAATTTTAGTATAATAAAGTGCGAGTTTCAGTCAATAAAAATTACCGCAACACCCTCGACGAAAAAAATTCTAAAAAATCAAGGGTAATTTTTGGTGCCTAGACACTTTATTGTACTCAAATGGAATAGGCTACAAAACTGCATACTCAAAACTGTTCTAGAAGTTCTGAATAAAAAGTTTGAAAATTTCATGAAATTTTTTTGAAATTTTGATGAAATTTTATAATTTTTTTTGAACTCTGTGCAAACCGTGAAACTTTAATTTGTGTGATTTCTGTCATTGCTCGAACTATATTTTAAATGAAAATTATAAAAAATAAATAAATAAGCATAAGTTGCAAACTATATCATTTTGAGTTTTGCTACTATTTTATTGATCGCAGCTGTACATATGCATTTTAGCTTTTCTACAAAAGCAAAAATAATCGCATACTTAATGAAGGCCTTTTGATAAGTTAAAAACAATTATTCGTCCATTTTGTGCTTTGCTGAAAATGGCGTGTGCAGACCTGCGTTGACTGTCGCATTGCACATATATGTATATACATACATACATTCACAATTCCCTTCTAATCATTGCCATACAAACAAACGCACCCGCTCGATTGATATTGTTACCATATTTTGTAATAATATGTATGACGTTATATTAGCCTTAGTCCTCAGCTTATCAAAAATCTAAATTGCACATTCATAAAATTTTACGGGTATTTGGGCTATTTGCAGTCTAAACACCTGCATATATACATATGTAGATGTTTGCGACAATGCTAACTCAATACCACGCAGTAAATCGTACTGTCACAAGGTGGGACAGAAAATTATATTTATTTTATTTTTTTGTTTGATCTGAAGATCTGCAGTTGAAGCCTTTGGATACAAGACTAATGCATACATTACTGCCATATTTCAGAACGGCACTTGTGTACAGCGCCTACATCTGCAAATAATATTTTCAAGAGTCCACTTGCTCCTCTCTTGTCTCTAATCTTTGTCTAATCTATTTCCATCCCTCACTAAGGATTTCTAAAGTAAGTATGGACGATTAGACATGCATTCGACGAGAATTAGAGACATGAGTAACAGTTTTTAATCTATTGATTTTGAATTGTGTCGTTATTACACAGTACCATCGATATCAAATCCTTTGGTAATATTTATTTTTTTACAACATTGAATGCAATCGCGACATATTACCAGCCAAAGTTTTATTTTCAAAATTGAATCGATTGCGCGGGCTAAAGATATATTTTAAATTGGCCAATTATTACGGGCTTAGACCTAAGATAACATAATATAACTATTACGAACAAATGCCTTTTATTTCTCCCCCCTACAAAATTGACCCAGCCTAATGTACATCTATATATTCACCATAACTGATTCCCTTTCTGTTGAATAATTTACAAAAAAAAAATGGTTAAGCATATGCATTTTAATAGCAAATGTTTTCTAATCTATTTACTTTCAGGTCCATTTACTCGTCCTGTTATTACTGTTATGAAAATAACTAATCCAACAGATAACATAATACTGTTCAAGATCAAAACGACCGCCCCGAAACGGTACTGTGTGCGCCCGAATTTCGGTTCACTTGAACCACATACGCATGCCAGAATTGAAAGTAAGTTGATATGTGTAGTCGCATAACTAAATTGAATGTAATGATTACTTGTAATAAAAAATTGTTCTTCAAACACACACAGTTTGCTTACAACCATTTGCGTATGATCCCAACGACAAGAATAAGCATAAGTTCATGGTGCAGAGCCTGGTTGTGCACGATCGTTCAGTTGAAGACTGGAATAAGTTGGTGAGTATGCGAAAAGTACTCCTATTAAATAAATCATAATACGCATAGTTTGAAAATAAATTGCTTTCATTACACGTTTTCTCAGTGGAAGGAGTCGGAACCGCAACAATTGATGGATGTTAAGTTGAGATGTGTCTTCGAGATGCCAACTGTAACGTCAGCCGCAGACAGCAGTGGTGGTTCAGGTAGCAGGCGATTCATCATCCATTGATGTCGTACACAAATTTACTCAATATTTAATTTTATTTTAACATAGGCACTAACGAGATAGTTAAAGAAACGTCAACAAAAATTGAGTCAGAAAATAAAGCAATTCCATTTCGCGAGGAGAAGGTGAGTTTCAATACAGTAAATAGCTAATTGTACTACAATATAACAAAAGAAGATGAATAGGTAAAATTAACTAACTTTTATTTGAAGGTCTCAAATGTGCAACCATCAGAGCAACGTGAAGAGTTATTGTCTGACATTAGGCGGCTGCGCGAAGACAATGAGAAATTGCAAAGAGAGAAGCGTCATCTTACAGTAAGTAGTTAGTGATGTGATATATTCTTGCCGTTTAATACATGACGTTGTTCTGTACACTCAAACTACCTTACGTTGATCGACTCACGTTACCACTACGACCAGAGGAAATACAAGCAAACAACACTAGTCTCACTAGCCATTGCATAAGTATGTGGCATTAATAACCCAGTAGATAATTTCAGGAGTTAAAAGCCCTTGCAAAAGGCCTACAAACCTTTCTTTTTTTATATGGAACAGCAAAAACTGCAGGGCTTCTGCTTTTGTAGGACGTACATCAGAAGGCTTTTTGGAGTTTTTCTAAAGTCTCTTCTAAACTTTTATTTCCTTATGATATTTATTTAAGGTTCATATCAAAATTGGTTTATGGCAACGTAAAATTGATTTGTAATGCTAAATAATAGGTTTGTTCCACAAGCTACTCGAAGTCACTTCGAGTTACACATACGCGTTCCAAAGTAGGTTTTAGTAGCTTGTGGAACAAACCTAATATAAACTTATACAGGAAAAGCCCTCCTAGATGACATACAGAGAAGCACTTTTTACAGCCCTTCCTGGGTAAACCTTTAGAATGGATTCACTTAAGAAGGCCTACCTAAATTATATTCTGGGACATATATACATTACAAGACCGTTCAGATGGGAAGGGGGCAATGTGCTATTACAACAACAGCAACTCCAACCATATGTCTTTAAATTACATTCGTAAAATGCGTATTAAGTTTTTAAAAGAAGAACGTCTGAGCCATTGAACTTTCTGAGGGATCTGTCCTTTAAATAAGTGTTGTGAAGAGAAAAGGACACAATAGATCGCACCCCTTATTTTAGTATCTATCTATCTCAAGTGTGAGCTATGAATGTTAATCATGTACATATGTACATATTTATATGCCTTTATTCGAGTCGTATTTCTTCAAGGTAACAAAACATTTTATCTTTTGATTTCAGGATGAAATCGTCAAAATTCGGGATTCCTATTCGAAACCGATGTACGATCAGGCCTATACACCGATACTGGGCGAGAAGCAAATTCCGGTATTTTATATAGCGTTGTCGATTGTTGCGGCCATATTCGGTTTCCTGTTTGGCAAATATTTTTGAATGCATACAACGCAAGCAAAACTATGAAGTGCGGACATGTTTACCAACAAGATCGCAACAGCAACAACAGCATAATATGTATAAGCAACAGCAAAAATACAAACCAGATGAACAATGAACACGAAACTTAAAATACATATTTAAAACAAGCAAGAAACCAGCGGTAAAAACAAAAGCAACAAAAATTATCTAATGAAATAAACAAATAATTAAAGCTAAAAAAAAAACNAATACATATTTAAAACAAGCAAGAAACCAGCGGTAAAAACAAAAGCAACACAAATTATCTAATGAAATAAACAAATAATTAAAGCTAAAAAAAAAAAAAAACGATAAAAAATTAATAAATATTGTTGAAAGGTTATTTTGAAATACATGTAACCACATACATAAATGGCGATGAGCGGACAGATGCGCATAGAAACTTGAGAAAAATTCATTAAAGCTAAAAAATCATTATTTGCAAAAACAAAAAACAAGGTAAATTGCAGTATAACTTAACACACACACGTAAACATATAATGAAACAGCAAGTAAATGTATAAAGCTCGGTGTAAAGTAGATAAAACATTAGAAACGGCGGTGACTGAACGAACGTTTGGAAGTAGAGAGGGAGGGAGGGTAGTTAAAATAAAATTCTGTGTTTGTGTGAAACCTTTCAGAATATACGTTTTGTATAGCCACAGCGCACCGATTGAACGTTGGCACGGCATTTATTCATAACTTTATATTGTAGCAAAAAGTGGAAAGGGCTAAACAATGAACTACGACTAAAAACAAAAATATGAAAAAGTTAATACAAAAGAATGAATAATTAAAAATGAAAGAATATGCATTATAAAAAGCATTAGGTTTAATAAATAATAACTAATGTATTTTATTTTAATTTCTTTAATCATGCGCTTACCGTGTTCTAGAAACGAAATTCTCTAGCAATATCTTTAATCTCGGAACTATTACTGAATAGGTTAAATATATGTAATAGTAACTCATTTGCCTTTTAAATACAAAAAAATAGTTAAACGCATACCTCTTACATAAAATGTCTACTAATTTAATGGGATTGAGCTATATTTGATGTTTGTTTCAAGAGAGCATTACACACGTAGTATTTTCTAATTTAACTCTCTTTAACTCGCATGAGTAATTCATAAAAATTCCTAACAATTTTAAACATTGCAAATCGAATCGTTGGGTAGGCATAACCTTAAAACCAGTGCGGCTTCTTAACGATTTTACAAACATCAATGTAAAGTGTATGCAATTTTTTTAATTTGCCTACTTTCTGTTTCGTTTAATTACAAATAAATGTCAACTGCTAAAGCAATCAAATACACATTAAAAAAAAAAAACTTTTTTTCAAACACTTGAATCCTCGTACAAAACACGGTTTATAGTACTCGTAAATCCTGAATGCATCTGTCGGTTTTTTGCTCCTATAGGTTAGTCGCACACTACTTCGTAGAAAATACAGCTTTGCTTTTGATTTTACTTAAATATAAAAATTTTGTTTTGTGTAATTTTGTTGTTCAATCCATGATAAAAATATAGTAAGGTAGAACCGCTGAGAGGCACTTTTAAAATTCTTGACGTTTCCAAACAATTTAATTTTTAAATTTACTCACAAACTCACACACACAATTTCATTTTCAATCTCAAGCAACAACAATTTCGAACAATTTAAATTTTTTATTTTCACTTTTATATGATTTTAAAATGTTGGCAAACTTCAAAAAGAAATCATGGCCGCCAAATTGAGAGAACGGTTATACCTTGCTTTGTTTTTATCATGGTTCAATCTATATATAATTTGAAGAAAATATGCTTCGTGTTACTTCGAATTACTTTTAGCGTTGTTTTATATTTAATTTTCGTTTAATTTTATTATATACGCTTTTGCCGAAATGTATGTGTTTTTTTGTGGTAATTTCTCAAGTATAAGTAAATAAATACAACATTTTAAATAACAATCACGAGTCAGTCAATTTTAATGCGTTTTTGATTCCTTTATATTTGTTTTGTTTTTATTTTTGGCGTACTATCAGAATATCTACCACCGAGAATGTTCTTCGTCTCCAGAAATATGCAACAACCCTCTTTCATTTCAATTTTTTTTTTGATAGTATGTAGTAGCCAAAAACTAAGACTGCACTTGCTTCGCGACACTGTAGCGGTTCTACGATTTTTTTTTTTTTTTTGGTAAGGTAAAGCGCACTGAAACTGCAGCTGAGCGAAACTTCGCCTCAAAATCTTTATTTTATTTATGCAGTAACCTTCAAAAACGGTTGATTTCAGTGAGCCTTATGTGGTGATCATTTCTTTAATTTGTAATTGTGTTGCCGTATTCTTCTCAAATCTAATTTTTGCTTAGATTATTTTGCAATTTATTTCAATATTCACTCGGCATATGAAATGGAATTTCCTCACCTAGCGACATTTTGCTTAACTGGCACTACGCAACCCAACTTTTTTGACTTTTTTGCTTAGTTGGTCAACTTTGCCGTGTAGTGTAACGTCGCACAGTGGGGCAAAAAGGGTTGCTGTGGACAAATTAATTTTGAGAGCCCAAATATGAACCGATTTCAAGTTTATTTTTATGTTTAATAAAAGATAATTAAATTTCGCGTCAATCTATCCGTGCCGCTTTTTTTTAAAAAAAGCTCAGGTTTTTTTTTTTTATTTATGTTCAGAAATGAACGAAAAAAATTTTACGTTTGAATGCTACTTTTGTGGAAAATACTTGAAATTAATTTCAAATGTCTGCAATTATTTAAAAAAATTATTCATACCACCAACAACGAAAATGAGATTATTCATAATCCTTTTTCCATAGAATAGATTTTATTAAAAAAATGTATTTCATTTGTTATTTATACTAATATATATTTTGAAAGCCGTTTTTTGGTTTTTTTTCTGTTCGAAAAACTCGAGAACAGCTGTACCGATATTTTTGAAATTTTGGGCATCGTCTCAGACTATCCAAGGTGTATGTGCATATCGTCGTTTAAAGTACAAAACCGCATATCGTGGTTCTGCAAAACCTCGTAACTGCCAAAAGCGATATTTGCTCGACGGAAGCTCCTGGTATCAAAGAGATAATGAACCGTTTTGAACTAATCAAGTTTTCTCTCTTCTATAAAATTTTGGCAAACTCACATACGAAGTTTTGCATTTTGTTGATACGCGGTTTTGTACTTTAAACGACGATATGTACATTAGACTGCATCACTCCCCATACAAAAAAAAATTTCGGTACCGTTTTTCGACTGGAGTTATAAAATCTATTTTATTTTAAGACCTGCACCAAAATATTTCGGAAAAATATTAAGATTTACGTGAGCTGGACCGATTTGAAAATTCCTCCAAAATTTAGTGTTTTACGAATAAAATTTTTTTAAGATAAAAAAAATGGCCTCAGATGACAAAACAGTTTATTCCTAAAAAATTTTCATAAAATAAAAAAAAAAAACGAAATCATAACAATGAGATTTTTCATGCTACTTTTTTTAAGACAAACTTGAATAACTGGGCCAAAACTTTACCGATTTAGGATTATGAGGTATCATTGGAAAGGCATTTTCTCACTCTTTTTATTTCTTTGCCTTTTTTTCATTCAAAGTATGAAAGAGAAAGGTAAGATAAACGAGCGTCATTCAAAGTTGAATTAATATGTGTTGGTAATTGAAAAGGCAAAATTGGGACGAGAATGAATGAATTTGCAAAGAAATAAAAAGGGTGAGAAAATACCTTTCAAATGGTACCTCATAAGTTTAAATCGGTATAGTTTTGGCACAAGTTATTCAAGTATTTCTTAAAGCAACCTTAAAAAATTAAAAAAACAGCCTCAAAAATCGCATTAGATACCGTTGAATTTTTTTTAAATATTTTATGTAGAAGTTTTTAGCAATAACCAATTAAAAAAGAACACCTAAACAGCTCCTTGGAGACTTCGTTGTAGAATTTCAAATGAAAAGTCCTGCCGTAAAAGCTCTTAACAATGAACGTGAAAAAAGGACGACAGGCTTAGTATAAAAATTCAGTAAAAAGTAGGCGTGTGCAGCAAATTATCAAACTCGACATAAACAAATAACACAAAAGGCGTTGTTAAATACACCATAAAACACACATTGGAACATACCTTGACGAAAACTGGCACTTTTATTTAACACATTATTTAAATATTTGTATACATATACATTAATATACATACATACATACATACATAACTGAAAAAATAATAATTTAAAAACATGAATGACGTATATAAATGTAATTAAAACATATAATGGCAAATGGTTTTCTTTAAATTTAAATTGTTATATAAAATGTAAGTGAAATATCATTAAAGAAAATTCTTAGAAATCTAAAAAAAAAACATTAAAAAACTTCAAACGAAATCGCTTTGTTTTATAACCAGCTACTACAACAAACAACAGAAAAATAACAGGGCAGAAAAAAACAAAAGCTGTGCGTTAAAATACATATATGGAATAACAAAGAGATGCTATAAAAATGTTTCCATTATAATTTAGAAATTATTTAATAAAATTAAATATTACTTAGCTGAGGTGATGCATATGCATATGCAGTGGTAAACACATACATACATGCAAATGTACTACATACAGCTGAATCCAATAAACGAAGAAAACCCGTGCAAAAAACGAAAAATGCAAACATTACCTTAAATATACTATAATAAATGGAAAATTACAATATATCTGTGCTGAGTTTTTATTCATTTAAAATTCGAGTTAATTGCGAAATATGTGGAAAAAATGGCAAAAAACTTGCAATTTTCGCAATTTAGTCGAAATTTTGTAGGTGGCTCTGGTTAAATGCACAGCTTTTCCTGTAAAACCTGCAAATCTTGGAGTACGGGAACAGGCTAGCTGGATAGAACTTGAATGCTGTTTCACAGCAATCGGTCGCCGATTACCGGTTTGTGGCAAACATTGTCATTTGATTTTGGGTATCATTTTTGTTTTGCACCGTAAAAAGTTTCATTCAGCACCATTAGTTTTATACCTAAACGGACAATTTTATTCCTAGCCGATATTACCTATTACTTTGATACCCTGTTACTCAACTATAGCTATCCCATCGATAGTAATATCGATTATTCGATACATGCATTAATTTCAAATACATAGTCTGGCATCTCACCTCGCGTCAGCTGATTTTTGTTGATAACGCCATAGTATGCCAAATCGTGTATTTCATTACGAGAAAATAAACGCATTTCGGAATCCAAATTATCCGTACCGATTTGTTCAACTCGGAATCAAAAATGTTTTAAAACTATACCACGTTTTAATAAAATCAGTTAAAACACAAATCCAGTGGAAGAAGTATCTCTGTAGCTTTACACCTTCGCTACGCGAGTCACGTGTCCAACAGCCGATATACAGCGGAACAGGTTGGTATGGAGTTTCTTTGTTTGATCTATTAGCAACAAGAGTGGCTAGCTACGCAATCAATCACTCAACTTAGGAAAATAATTGTGTGTTTTATGCACGCATGCATGCATGTACGTACACGTTGTGTTTGTTGCATTAATTCATATGTACATATACCAAAACCTATACTGTATGTGCAATTATCACGTATTATTTTTCTTTTGTTGTTGCAAAATCGTCATTTTTGCAGCCATCGACATTTAAAAGTGCCGGTTTTTGTTGGAGGCCTAGTTTATAGTGACTCAAGAGTAAGGAATGTGTGGAGATAATTGACATCAAACGCTAACATCAAACAGGTAAAATAATTCGAAGACTATTTTGTTTAATGTTTTATAAAAAAACCTTTTTTATTAGATACTTGTTAAAGAAGTTCAATCAAGATGTCTCCAATACCAGTACTAGAATCCTGTATACCATTACCAATTGAGGAGCGCACACTGGTTGAAGTAACACAGAAGGCGAAAGATTGGGCAATTATGCATGGTGCTGCTATGCGCTCCAAAGCCAACTTCAGTCCTGATTCGCTTAATGTAATATTAAATTCACCGTGATATATGTTACTCTACATATGTACACATGATAAAAACATTACAAGGTAAAATCATTGAGAGGCAGTCTGACGTTTGCCAACAATATAATTTTAAAATTCGAGCTCAGGCTCACACACACATTCTCATTTTTAATCTCAAACAACAACAATTGTGAACAATTTCATTTTTTTATTTTCAATTTTATATAATTTTTAAATGTTTGCAAACGTCAGAAAAAAATCATGGCCGACGAATTGAGAGAATGGTTTTACCTTCTAATGTTTTTATCATGTATGTACATATGTATGTACCACAGATATATATACATACATACATATGCACATATGCCCATGCGTATCTATGTTGCGTGTTAATTAAAATTAGTATTTTGTGAAATTCTTACCGTATAACACACAGCATTTACTCTTTTATAAACATACAAAGATTTAATTTCTGCATTTATGTAGATAAACTAATTATGCATACATATGTCTGTATGTAGATAAGCTCCTAATGTATTTGTTTTGAGTATATTAACAGCGCGTAGATTTTAGCGCTTTCAGTCTGTTTGACTTTCACATTGTTTATAGCTACTATTTGTTTATACACAGTAACGGTCATGTCAATAACACCCCATTTCAAAGTGATACTGTTTGCCACTCATGTTTTTTATTTACTTTTAAAAATTTTTAACTGAAATACAATTTATTCTCTAACAAAACTCATGCATACAAACCCAAGTTTAAAACTTTATAGAAAACTAAAAAAAGTTTTAACAAATTTTAGTCCAAATCTCGGAACAAGCGCAGAATAGCGGCTTCTCACCCGGGAAAGAGTGGGAGGTGCCAATTTCCAAATATTAAAAGGCCTATATTTCGTAAAATTACATTAAAAATTAAAATTACGATTTTTACAACATTAACATCGTTATACAGATAATTTTCGTTTTCGTCTATACATATACATACCTATTAAATATTTACTGTCAATATTCACAATTATTTGTATACATTTTTTTTTTTATTAATTATTTATGAAAATATAGTTCATTCTATAACATAAAACATATAAATTAAAGTTTCACACTTTATATAAAGTTCTCAAAAATTCAAAAAATTTACATCAAAATTTTTATTCAGAATTTCTAGAAATTTTTCGATTATGCAGTTTTGGAGCCCGTTCAATTTTAGTAAAACAAAGTGCAAGCTTCAAGTCGGTAGAAATTACCGTTGATTTTTTAGAATCTTTTTTTTTTGTGTAAGATGTTGCGCGTTTTCTTCCTATCTATCTACTTTTAAATTGCTTGCATTTTTTTGAACTTTGTATAAAGTGTCAAACTTTGATTTTTATTGATGTTTGTTATAGAATGAACTATATCTTGATAAATAATTAATGAAAAAAAATTCTATGAAAATAATTGTGAATATTATATTAAAACAAGGTGTAAACTTACATACATTTGACACTGACTGTATATAAAGAAAGAATAATTAGAAAATTAACTTTGTTTAAACAAACAATGAAAACAATTTATAGTGACGTTGTGCTTCCAAAAAATGTTGCCCTTCTTCCAAATTTTCACTATATATTAAAATATGGCTTTATATGCATTAAAAAAAAAATCGCTGCAGGCGAAAATTTGGAATAAAAAATCGCGCACACAGGAAATTCCAAATAAATTTGTAAAATATTTTATTAGTTTTTTATAAAGTTTTAAACTAGGATTTATATGGGTTTTGTTAGAGAATGAAGTGTATTTTAATTGAAAATAAGAATTAAACAAACAAACAATAAAACGAATTCTTAAAAATAAATAAAAAACATTAGTCACTTGGAAATGGGGGTGCTATTGATTTACCGATTGTGTATGCACATACATACAAACATATATATATAAATATATATACATATCGCACGTTTAATAATATAGAGATGTAACTGAAAATTTACGTTTTTGGAGATTTGATTATCCAATTAATAAGTTTGATAAGTAGAATATGTGGAGTCTAACAGATAACCAAATTTTCCAAATATGGCGAAGATATGTGTCTTTCCATCTGTCTTTTTGTATACCAACTGTATGAATTGATAACACTTTAATTGAATTTTGAAATACTTCGTTATATTATTAAACGTGCGATATACGTATTTTTTATTGTAATCCGTGATTGCTAAGTTGATTAATCGTTTTTGAATACCAGTTCGCTCCGTTCATTTTGGTGCCTTCGTCCTTCCCACGCAAAGAGTTCGAAAAGGCTAAACATTTGCAAACCATTATTAACCAATTGATGCATAATGTGGCCCACGATGAAGAATTTCTTACCACAACTCTGGCGGAAACTATCAAAGTGGATGACTTTACAGCTAATCTCTTTAATGTATACAAAAAAGTGCTCGCCAATGGCTTTGGACAGGTATGTTAAATTTTTAATTTAAAGAACCAATTTCCTAACTAACCATTTTCATTATATTATTTTCATAAATATTAAATATACGCACATAAATAAACTGACTACTTACCTCAAAGCATTTCGCAAGTACTTAATACATACATACATACATACATACGTCTGCATTTGTAAAAAATACTGCCCTAACCTACCAGTGGTTTTCTGAAAAGTTTTTAGGATGGTGAATTTATTTTTATTAAAAAATATACTTATCGTTATTTCGTTGTAGAGTGATTCATATTCAGCCTTGTCATGAGTTTAATTTTCCCCGAACCGGTTCACCTTTCACTTTTGGTTTCCATGTATTTACTATGGGCGGAGTACAAATTTTCGGGTGAATTTCTTTTCTGGCGAACATAAGGACAAGGCAGAATATTTTCCAGATACTTAGTGAAATTGAACTGAAAACTATAAAAAAAAAAACAAAAAAACGCATCAAAAACACTTAAAAAAATTTGAAAGATTAGTTCTTAAGCAGCCGCTGTGAAGGAGAACCCGGCCAAGCACTTAAGCACTACAAATAGAAAGAGTTGGTTTGCATTCAACTCGCTGCACGCTTGTAGATTGGTGGATGAATATAATTGCGTCGGTGATGTGCAATAGGGTGGCCCTTAAAATATAACTTTTTAAATTTTGGATAGTTTTTCTTCAGCTGCTCTTTAATACGGTTTAGATCTATGAAAAATCAGCTCTGTAAAGTTTGGTCTCAATTGGCAAAGGAAGCCATACTCCTCGACCATCAACAAAAAAAAAGAAAAAAAATGCAAACAAGTTGATTAAAATTGTATATATTAACTGCAACTGACAAAAATAGTGATTCGTGTTTCTGACAGTAAGTGTATTAAAAATAATTGTTTCCGCTGATTCTGAATAGAATTTCCTTGAGTCTTCATTACAATTTTCGGTGAATTTGGAACATACTTACATATATTCACCTTAATAGTGTTGCCAGGACTTAAAAAATAAAAAAGCTATATCGGCCAAATAAAAAAACCTAAAACAAGCTAAGTGACCCAAAAAAAGGTTAAAAAAGGCCAGCCTTTTCAAAACATTTCATTAACTTTTATGTACAAAGAGGTGGTACAAATGTGCCACCGGGCAACAAAAATGTAAATATATCGACAACCAAAGTACTTACGACTATGCAATTTCACGAAAGCCTTGTGCAAAGATTTTTGAATGCCATACCGTTTAATAAAACCATTTTAATTCATTTTTAGGATCTGAAAAATAGTAGTCCTTAAAGACAAAGTAGTGGTACATTTGTACCACCAAATATCTTCATACATTACAATATGATTGCAATCGTGAATGTTTCAATTTGCGCGCGCATAGTGAAGAGCAAACCGTATACACGCCGCTACAACAACAACAACAACAACGAAGTCGAGTTCTATTTGACAAACTGTTTAAGTCGACACGGATGCTTCAAACCATACCTTCACCGATTCAAACACGAACCGGGAGGGGGAAAAGGGTTGAATCGCCCCGGGCCGGGCTTTTTAAGGGGCCTGAAATGTCAGAACCATAACTTGTTATTATTTTCTTACAATGTAATTGCTCCTTCGTTATAGGCTTTTATTATAAATATATTCCTATCCTGCTGATTGTTTCTGACTCTATACATATATATTAATGCATTTTATGTATAGGGGCCCGTGATTTTTCAGTCCGGGGCCCGAGTTTTCGCTCGACGGCCCTGTATATGCGACTACTACGGAGGAGATGCAATAGAAGGCGTCTTTTTTGAGTGTATGCGATTTGACAGTACCAGATGCAAACTTCGCAACATATTTGGCGAGAGTTTCACGCCTAAGTCAATCTGCAGGCTATGCTACAAAGCAGCGAAAAATGGTGGGTAGCATGTAACGCAATAGCAGAGGCGATGCAGGGGCTAAAAGTCTACGGCATAACAGCGGCGACTAATTTCCTTTCTCCCTCACGGTGTAGTGCTTGACGTCATTCCCGTGCGGTGCGGAGTTCTAGGAAATAACATGCTTTTCCTGGTTTTATAGGGAAAACAGAACGGGTTCGCTGAGTAAATTTCGTTGGACGAAGCGATGCCGCCGGGTGATATTCGCGTAAAATTTCGTCAAGTAAAACAACCGGAACAATAATTTAGTGCTACTACAAATATTGAAAATAAGAAAAGGCTAGAAAAAGGCCACGAAGCTAAATCCTAAATTTCGAAGCTAAACGACAAAGAAAAAAAGGTAGTTCTAGCCTCAAAAAGGCTAAACTGGCAACACTGCACCTTACAGAAAGCATTGCATTGAAAGAATTGCTGAGTTACTCTCTCAAAAGTCTTATTGTTGTTGTTGTTGTAACAGCATACAAATTCCCAAAGAGTTTCTGTCGAGTGTTGCTGGAGTGACAGTCCTTAGCTAGATATAAACCTGGGTCGTTCCGTTTACGTAGACCCAAAAGTCTACGGCGGTCTTTTGGGTACGTATTAAAAGTCTTCTTAGGTACGGATTTTCTAGTAAGGGAACGATCTCCTCTAAATTCTGACTAAATCCTGTAAATCTGACTTGTAAAAGAAAAATTTAAATATTTTATTAGCTTTTAATTAGCAAGATTTTGGTAATAACTACACATGGCGTGAAAGAGTTAAGCTAAACAATTTCAATTCATCACCATAAATCTTTGTATACAAATGATACCTGTTATCAATTCATTCATTAATATAAAAACACATAACCGAGCGAAAATATTGCACATTCATCCATTTCATAAATTTGTTCGCCCTAATTTTCATCTATCATCTATATGTTCTTAGGAAAGTAAATAAAAATAACCCTTTCACAGCACATGCTCACTTGATGTTAGTTAGTCACATAACATCGCTCACTAAAATTATCTACACATTTCTTATCCTTAACATATGTACTGCTACATTCATACATACATACATACATACATAATAGAAGATAATACTCGATCAGCACTAAACAGCGACTTTTTAAAACATACAAATTTTTAAGTTTATTTCACTTTATTATCTGATGGTTTCTAATTTTTATTATTTCCTTATATGTTTTTGTATGCACCCGCACGCGAATTCGTTTTGAAAATGAATCTATTGATATGAAAACGGTCAAATTTGATAAAAAAAAATCATTCTCAAAAAATGTATGTACATAACTTAAAAATGTACCAATAAAAAAAATGTGTCACATACACGAATATAAAGCGAATTTCGTTGGGCCTATTGCGCAGTGATTTGATGTTGGAGACGAAATGTACTGAATTACTTGAGAAAGAGAAACATACCCCCTGTGCCTACTGTTGCTGGAAACAAGTTGAAATTAACACAATTGCTTCTGGTTTTGGCCATTTAGGACCAGCAAGCAAAGCCATACAAAGGTGCAGATTTAATTACTAATTACTAGTAGCAATACATATAGTGTGTAGCCAAACAAATTGTTCAGATTGCATTGCTTTAATTTTCAATAATATTTAACACTAAAAACCGGTGTTCGGACTATGAAAGGCTTATTCTCATTTATAGATTTTTTTATTTATTTTAAAGAGCTTATTTTTTTATTTTTTTTTTCAAGCTTATGTGCTATTTTAACAGTCATTAGTTAACTAATATACTACCATTTTTCATTTCACAGTATCAATTTGACCAATGGTTGACTGTAGTATACTAAAAACAGCTGTTTTTCTATTAGTTAATTGATGACTTGAAAAATGGCTCTACTTAATACTCTACTTTAAGTATGTAGAATTGTTTAAGTTCTTGTTTTGCATTTTCGCAACTTAAGTTTTCATTAGTGTATTGTAGTGTAGGTTTTGTAATGCTTTTCTCGTTATGCATGTCTACTTGCATGCATTTAAAATTATATTCCTTAATTTATTCCTAAATTAAAACAGTTTTACGTTTAAAAGAAAATCACAATATCAAGAAAGTAATCTAGAGAAACTAAAAAGATACTGGGAAATCGACTTCTGCTGCAAGCGTAAATTCGTTGGATAAAATCGAGCCCTAACCGCCAAAACTATGTAAACGAAAAAGTGTTCCTAGAGCACTTACATAATGTAAGTTACATCTTTTTGACGGTTAGTGCTCGAAATGTTTAGTAACAACTATTTGAAAGTCCAGTTGGGGTTTGCTTTTACGCCGGTAAAAAATAAATTGTCCCTTATAGTTTTTATACTCGAGTGCACTTGGCCACAAGGGTACTATAACTTTGTTCGCTTGACGACAGTTCATAACAGCATCAAAGAATCGAGATAAATTTAGGCATTCAAATCTTAAAATGCTCAGAATGAAGACAGAAGTCGATCAAGCCATGTCTGTTTGTCCGTGTACACGATAACTCGAGCAAATATTTATATATGTATCTCAACGAAATTTGGTAGGTTTTTGGCATGGTAACAATAATTACAGGTATTGTCTTACCAGAAAGGTTTACTGTAAGGAAAAAGGGATATTTTCATACACCATAAACGTGTATCCGTATTTTTTGTTTAACAAACCTTCTTACAGAGCACGATTCAATAATGAAAGGTTTTGTAAGTAAGACTCGGTCTCGCTTTGATTTTATAAAAAAAAAATATATATTTATTTGTTTTTACAACTTTTCAGTCTTGATTTTTCTAGTTCGCGCTTCTAAGAAAATCCGCAAGTATTTTGTTAAATGCAATCAACTTCATTTCACCAATTTTGAATAGTCTTCAAATTGTGAAAGCCGTCTAGCAGCAAATTAAAGTACATACATACATAGTTTCCTAATAGCCCGTTCAAGTTAGATATTTAAAGTTGCAAAAATTCGCATAAAGTTCGCATCATAAATGAAATGTGAAAAGTCCGCATCGCTCCCACATCTGTAAAAAAATTTATTCTAGGTCAAAAGTCACATAAATTGCTTTTTTGCATTTCTCAGCAAAACGATAAGGTTTATCATAAAAATAGGTTAGAAAAATTTGTAGATCAAAAAATGTTCTATAAAAACTGTTATGACACTTTTGTTCCTTAGAAAAACCATTTCTGAGATATAGCGATTCAAAAAGTTGTGTTCTCCGCAATATGTATTATTTCCACTCTACTTGTGTTAACTTGAGGCCACTGGCGGTCATACTCCACGACTTATTGTATATTGTAGTCCATTAGAAGTGATGAAAGCAGTTTTCATTAAAAGTAATGAGGGAAAACTATTAATTATTGCACTAGTTTACTATAAAACGTATCTGTGGCACTTGGATCATCACTTCCCATGTAAAATTCTCCGCTGAATCCGAGTATGTAGTCAAAACATAAGAAACTAAAAGAGTTTTTGAAATATATCCGAATTGTGGTTTTTGAGATGTAAAAAAGTCCACTCACCTAGTTGCATTTTGTTTTGGATATACATACATACATTCCTTTTTAGGAAGAAAGAATTAGTAGTTTAAGATCGACTCATTAACTTATCGAAATTTTTGCATAGTTGAAAAAAAAATAAAAAAAAAAATACCTAGTTTCGGTAAAAACATCAAGATGAAGGAACTTGATATTTTCCGGATAACACCCTATTCTTCTATGAAGATACATATGTACATATGTACAAAAAGTTTGCATAAAAAATTATGATTTCCGTATTATAGAGAACACAACTTTTACTCTTTTAATTGAACTAGTTCATTAGCTCGTTCATTAAAGTGAACTAAAATTTTCTGTGGCAACGCTTTAATAAAAATGGAAATGTAATTTTAACACATATTGCTTCTTGTTTTTCGTTGTAAGGCGTGATTTCGTGATTTTGGAGAAAGACGAATGAATGAAGACGATTGGTTTGTGTCGTTATTGCAGAGTACCATGGACATGAAAAATATTTTTTTTTATTTTACAGATTAATTCAATCTTATATGTGTACATATGTATGTATGTGTTATAAAACATACATTTTTGTTGTTCTGTAACTCAGCTTCTACTACCGAACTAGTTCAATTAGGTGAACTATAGTTCAATAAGATGAACGAACTAAGACTCAGAAGAGCTAGTTCATTGAGATGAACGAACTAGAAGTGAACTAATCTTTAAAGTGAGCTAAAAAATCCAACTCTAGTATATGTATATGTAGTTCTCTTCGTATACTATTTATTTCGATCGTTGCAATGAGCCCTTTCTGGAGAGCGCCTTGATTCGTACGACAGAATTAAAATTTGGTTTGAAAATTAGATCCCATCCAAAGATGAGTACTTCTTCGGAGATGGAGTCCTAACAATTATTTGACAGATGGACAAAACCCATAGTTACTGTAGGCGTATATTTCGATTAGTATCACTATCTAATAAAGGGTTCCTCTAACATACCGCCACACAATGGGACCGCTTCACATAAAAGTTGCTGCTCAAAAGTCTGTAACCGGTTTTTACTCCTAAAAATGCTGTAGAAAAATCCAGAAGAGAAATATCATAATTTCAATAAAATTATTCCCTTGTTCTGTGTACAAAATAATTTTTTTTTGTTAAATACGAAAATATGTATTTAGTGAAAAGCAATAAAAACAGATCATCCGCGTGGACCACAGTCTTCATTTAGTCACTTACTTCGTGTTCTTAACACCAAACAAATAAAATTGTTGTATATTGATAGTTTTAATGATGGTAACGGGCCATAAAGATTACCTGAAATAGAAACAATGAGAGATTCACTTAGAGTATGCCCAAAATTCTCTTCTTAAAGTATGTCTTTTACTTCTGGATTAAATGATTTTTTTTTTGGGTTGTAAATACATACGATAATTTTGTAATAAGAGAATCGAAAGAAAGAATTAGACGGTGAAATACATCTTTACGTTTAGTTTGCCTTAAAGTTTTGCGGCTAAAACATTCTCGATATGCCTTAAAATTTTTGTTACGCGATTCCTGTGCCTCTTCACTTAATTGCTCAATCGGTAGAAAGAAATTCAATACAATTTTGTCCACTGTTGCTGTCATTGGATGCCAGTTTCGCAGTATTAAGACATAGCGTCTTGGATTTTATGTTATCTATTTTCAATCCACTGGATATTGTTTGCAAGTTTTTCTAACCAGACTTTATTGGACTCATAAAATATGTTTTGCGTCTACCGTATACAGTATCGGTCATATCTATAGCACGCCATTTCAAAGTTATATTGTGTGCTACTTATGTTTATTTATTTATTTTTAAGAATTTTCAATTAAAATACAGTGTTTTCTCTAACAAAACCCATATAAACCCAAGTTTAAAAACTTATAGAACCCTACAAAAAAGTGCAATAAATTTTCACCTAAATTTCAAACTTTTTTATCGGTAGTGTTTGAATTTTTCTGAATACACAGTTTTATAGCCCAATCAATTTTAGTCTGATAATGTGCAAGTTTCAAGTGGCTAAAATTTACCGTTGATTGCGGTTTTCTTCCATATACAAATAAATTGAATTTATTCATTATATGGAAGCCAATGCGACAAAAAAAAATTCTAAAAAATTAACGGTAATTCGTAGCCACTTGAAATTTGCACATTATCATACTAAAATTGCAGGAGCTAAAAAACTGTGTACTCAAAAAAATTCTATCACTTCTGACAAAAAAGTTTGAAATTTAGGTGAAAATTTGTTACACTTTTTTGTAGTTTTCTACAAATTGTTGAACTTGGCTATAAATGGGGTTTGTCCGAGAATGAACTAAAATTTAATTGAAAATTCTTAAAAATAAATAAATAAACATAAGTGGCACACATTATCACTTTGAAATGGCGTGCTATAGATATGACCGATACTGTATGTTCGATTTTAAAGTAACGTAACTATTGAAATTGCTCAAAAGATTGTTGCAGCTTCTTTCTTTTCGAGGCGAGACAGCTGCTTAGGTTTGAAATATATATATTGTTCTACATGGCTTAACTTGATTTGCAATAATTTAGAAGGTCTTTTAAATAATATTTTACACAAATCCCGATTTTTAATAGATAGATGGGTGCTGTCTGGAATAAAAGCTATCAGAATTGCAATAAAGATTAATCACAGACGGTATTTACTATTCTCTTCCATTCAGTTGGAATTTTTCTAAAAAGCACCTCCACGTGGTACATATTTTTCATAAAATAACGAAAGAGTGTGTCTGACAAAAACTAATAATTCATATTAAAATATATTTTTCTCAAAAATGCGCAAAGTGCTTATGCAAATCTGTTAAGCTTACTAATATATAAAGCCTTGCGGTTATAACTAAGAAAGAACCTTGCCATGAAAAAAACTAGTTTACTACAAGTTATTCCTTATATCTCAGAAACAAATGAAATTATGTATACAGCATAGTTCGTTCTAAATTACTAACAACCCTAAACATTATAAAACACCCTTTAATAACACACCTGAACTCGCTTTCGATATCGGAAAAAAATGCTGACTGAAAAGTTAAATTTAAGCTGTTGTGGGCGGCAACTTGTAGTAGTAAGGAACCCATTGTTTATACACGAGATTTGGTACTTTGTTGTATATATTTTTTTCATAAATGCCAACTTTCGAAAAATGACTTTTGAGCATCGCC